TCGCTCAGGTCCAAGCCGGGAAGCGGGGCCCCAGACGTCTAAGTGGAGTGTCTCAAAGGGCTCGGAGGCTGGACGAAGGGAGGAGGAGTGAGGAGTGGCGCGCAGCCGACCCTGGACACAAGGACCGCACGGAGGAGCGGGGGACGGCGGGAGCGGCGGGAGGTCGCGGGGGAGGCCTAAGACAAGACGCTGACTGGACATATCGCGGAGGTGAGAGAGGGAAGGGTGACCAAGGCGGTGGTGCCAGAGGAGGACAGGGTGGGACAGCGACCGACACGAGCACGACGCAGCCACTAGACCTGGCACAGCTACCTGACTGGACCTGGCTACCTGGTGGGACGGGGGAACCGGACGGGTGTCGGTGTGGAGGGTGTACAGACCAGAGCCCGGCTCCTGACGAAAAGTGGCCAGAGGGGCGTACGTGTCACCGTCCACACAGACTGCAGTGTCACCAGAAGGCTCAAACCAGACCCCGACGTGCTGTCTCGCCAGAGGAGCCACACCAACCAGGTTCCTAGAGAAAGTAGGAACGTGGAGGCCGGTCAGAGAACCGGAAGGGGCAGCTGGGCACGGGAGGGTAGTGGCGTGAGTCGCAATGACCGGTCCCGAAGAGGGATCGGCCAGTGCTACAGAAACCGGCGCCGAGAGTGGAGTAAGAGTCGTGCTGTCGCGGAAGAAGCACTGCGTCGCTCCGGAGTCCAGTGTGAAGGAGAGCGACGCGTCCGCCGAGGGAGCACCTGTACTAGTAGCTAGACAGGATCCTACACCAGCACCTACTCTAGCAACAGGCAAAGATCCTACGCTAGGTACAGGCAAGTAAACAGATCCAGCAGCACTATAGTCAACATCAGCATACATCGCATAAGACCTAGCATCATCCATAGACATATCAAACACAGCAACACCACGAGCAAGGAGTGGTCCCCAGCGCGGTGGCGGGGGAGCGGAGGGGCCGTGGTGCAGGACGTACAGTCGTCGAGACGGCTGAAGTCGCGTGCAGCAGAGTGGTCAGGGCGGCCGCAGTACGTGCCCCTGCGCGGACCCGTCAGGATCCAGTTCTAACAGGGACCAACGTCGCGGCCGGCCGAGCGGGGTCCCCGACTAGAAGGGGCACCACTGCACCCTGTGCTCGGGGGGCCCGTAGGCCTCCACTGCTGCGGGGGGCCCCACTGCTGCGAAGGGCCCCACTGCTGCTGAGTGCCCCACTGCTGCTGAGTGCCCCACTGCTGGGGCTGCTGCTGAGGCGGACGCTGCTGCTGGGCCTGGCGCTGCTGCTGGCCCTGGCGCTGCTGCTGCTGTCCCTGCCGCTGCTGCTGTCCAGGCGGTGGCAGCTGCGGAGGAGTCTGCTGCTGCTGCTGCGGAAACCCCTCACCACCGTCTAGAGGAGAGCCGTCAGGTCCCGAGTCACCCCCGCCGCCACCCCCGCCACTAGTACTACCGCCACCGCCGCCACCCGCAACACCCCCAGAACCCCCGCCGCCCTTCCCTCCCTTCTTGCCGGACTTGCCACGTTTCTGTCCGCCAGAGACAGAAACGGCCGCCGTCTCCTCAGAGGCAGAAGACGCGGCAGTGGCAAGCGAGGCAGTGAAGGTGGGAAGCTGTGGTACCGCACACCCCTCAAAGAGACGAGGAGGAGGCGCGGAAGAGGCGGAGGCAACAGCGAGGAGGTTACTCTCGATCTTCGAGAGAGCGGTCTCAAGAAGATCGATAGTAAGCTCAGTGGGGTGCTTCAGAAGAAGCGCGTCGCGGGCTGTGGCTAGACGGTCAGGGAGGCGAGTGACTAACCAGTGAATAGTGAGCCACATGGGGGGGGGTGCAAGGGCAAGCTGTTCCTCAGTGCAAGCGGCCTTGAAGCGAGCTTCAAGGGAGCGCAGGTGGGTAGCGAGGTCAGCGACAGTCTCAAAGGAGGCGAGGTCAGGGTAGATAAAGGGGACGAGGAGGCGGCTGAGGGAGGCAGAGGAGGGAGTGGAGTAGCGAGCAACAATAGCAGTGTAAAGGTCTGCAGCAGACTCGACCTGAGTGAAGTGGACGGCCTCAGTCGGCGGGAGAAGGTCGGTCAGGGCGAGGCAGGCAGCAGCGTCACGAGACTCCCACACGTCACGAGCGAGGAACCGGCGCTGGTACTCAGCCTCCTGCTCGGAAGTAGGCGGTGGGGTAGTGGGCAGCGGTGTAGGCTGCGGCGGGGCGGGCAGAGCACCGGACGCGTGCGCAAACAGGTGCACGCCATCCTGGCGCTGGCTCCTAAGGTGGCGCTGGGCCTGCGTCAGCCAGGTACTAAAGTCGATCGCGCGCCCCTCAGGGTCGAAACGGAGCACGCGAGACGTCGCCATGAGGGGCGAGAACAAGCGATAGCGGCCGCCAGCCGCGAGAGGAGGAGGAGAGGGAGGTGAGTGCGAGGCGGGTGCGCGCAGGCGGGGCGCGTTCTGGCTGGGCGCGGGGCGGCGGGGCGCGCGGGCGCGGCGCGCTGGCGGGCGGCTAGGCAGGGCGCGCGCTGGCGGGCGCGCTGGCGGGCGCGCTGGCGGGCTGGCGTGCAAGCGGGCTGACGCGCGGGCTGGCTGGCGCGCTGGCTGGCTGGCGGGCTAGCGCGCTGGTTGGCAGGCGCGCTGGCTGGCTGGCGCGCTGGCTGGCTGGCGCGCTGGCTGGCTGGCGCGCTGGCTGGCTGGCGCGCTGGCTGGCTGGCGCGCTGGCGGGCTGGCGGGGCGCAGTGGTAACCCTAGTGGTAGGGACGGGCGGGCCTAGGGCTAGGAGCGCTAACCTACTGCTGATACCATGTCAGAATGAGAACTACAGCGGAATGTGTTGCATTGACAGAATTGGGGTACATAACCTAACCCTAACTAGTTGTACCCCATATAGCCCAACCCACTACAGGGTATAATATTTGACACTGTGCTCTGCTTTTTTTTTGTACTTATAACGGAAAATCCTTCTGTTCTGTACCCCCAAACCTGCTGCGGTTGCGGCGGGGGGTTGCCACGAATCGCACCACATCGTTATTCACCAGAGGCAGAGCCACAGCTCAACCAATCAGTTTGCTCTCTTCCGCCACAGCCCATCTCGTTCACTTTTGTGCCTTATCTTGACCGTGGTCTGCAAGAAACCGCACCGCACCTCACCGCACCGCACCGCTCCATTCCCCACCCACCCCAACCTACTTCCAATAAGACGGATGTCAGTAATAACCGAACCCGCCCTACATTCACGGATAGGTGATTTCGCCAGTACTGGTACCGCCAGCGGGACCGGTGCGGTCTCGAATATTCCACCCCGCCGCCCCGTTCCGCCTGCGCTATCGCGTTAGCGCTAGCGGACTGGGGCAGCCATCGTGACAGCGCTTATGTGATTGGGTGTCGTTTCGGGTACCCAATGCGCTTCAGCTGTGTCACACGGCATACGGATACGGCATAATCCGCGGTCCAGCGTCAGCATCGCCGTTTGGTACCAGCGCCGCCCATTCATTGGGGCGACTCACCCCACCCCGACTTAGCAGACCCTTCCGCGGACTAACTCTTGCGCGTTAGAGTCGTAGTAAGTGCTGTGAAGGGGTATCGCCAAATACTTTATCTAGTGCTTTTTTTCCGACGGCCACTCGTCATTTCATTACATTCACAGACCCTTTACTGCTATTGCTACTGCTCTTAGGCTCCCACACCTACAAGTACCAGTAGTGGCTGATTTCGCCATCGGCGATGGCGACGAAGATAACGGATGACGACTTTGACAGCCGTGTTCTGAACAACAAGCTCCCGTCTGTCGTCCTTTTTTGGGCGAGCTGGTCCGGTCCTTGCAGGATGATGGAAACCTTGATTGATCAGACCGCCGGGAAATTTTCAGGAAAGGCCTCCTGCTTCAAGATGGACACAGACGAAAGTCCCAACACGTCGGGCGAATACGGCATCCAAAGCGTTCCCACTGTGAAAATCTTCAAGGCTGGGCGTCAGCAGGAGACGCTCGTTGGCGCTGTGGATGATTTGGCCCTGGAGAGAGCCATCGATCAATATATATGAGGAGCTTCGTGCTCTGCTGTCGTCACTTCGTAATACGTTACTTTCATTCTGGACTGTCTGCATGAAATGCTGCTGGCGTTTAGGGTTTGTCGTCTCTAGTTGCTGTGCTGGTTTGGGCTCAAACTGAAAATGTGTGACGAACTAGATCTGGGTTTAAAATGTTGGAAATAGAAACATAAGACAATATATATGCTGTAAGATTTCACTGTAGTCCCCTTTATAAGCATCTAGGCCCTACAATAATTGTACAATTATTGTAGAGGCTGAATGGTTGGAGTCTAGAGGTTAGGGGGTAGAATTATTGGTACTCCTTTATTAGAGTTGCCATTATTGGTGGTACAATTATTGGTGTGGATGGATAGGTTGTGGGCAAAGTAGCTGATAGCATAATCCCTGCTGTGTGGTTTCATAATCAATCCACTTAGTTGCATGGTTCTCTTGCTACTCTAATCTACAATCAAGACTTCCGCAACGCCGGCATCATGCCTTTCTAGCATGGTATCAGAGCTGCTCTAGGGGGCATGCTGCCGAAATTTAGACAGAAACCTGCTACAATCCATATTGGACAGGCTACATTAGCATATTGGCATAGCAAGAGGCAACGATTGGATCAAGGCAATGGCGCGGTTCGACGATGAAGTCGACAATGCATACCAGACCTTTGAAGAGGCCATCATGGCTCAACATGAGCACCTGGAGAACATGATTGCAATGGCACCAGCAACACTTCAAGCCTCATTAAGAGCGAAGTTCAATATGCAAATTGGTGAAGGGAGTGGCAAAGTGGATGATGTGGGCGTGGAAGGTGTAGGAGTTGAATCCTACGCTACGGGTGCTCCCCCACTACGACGTCTTGCCACTAACGGTCATCCCCTTGGAGCCCCTATAATGGGCAGATCTCACCTTCTTGGCAAAAACATCATACCTCCTCGCGCGTCTCGTCCACTAATGGGTGTGGATCCTGCATGGAGCATGGAGTGCACGAGCCAAAGGATGGGACGTGATCGCGTCGATATGGTGGAGCATCACTCCTACGATCAAGACGGAGGGATGCAACGCATGGATGGTCAAGTGAGCAAGGACAACACACATGCAAAGGAGAAAACCAGGACCAAGAATGCGGGATCTTCAGGCGGAGAGCAGCAAGCGGCTAAGGGAAAGAAAATTAATGGCAATGGTGTAAAGGGCGGACGCTCAACTCTCATGTGCTGGTTTTGCAAGACACTGGGGCATCCGTTCTACAAGTGTCACACGGCACCACCAGGATGGTCACCACCAGGGTGGGAACAACAAAACAGAAGGAGGACCAACCGACGTACCAGCAACAGCCGTTCGATCTCTCCTCGAAATGATGACAGCCCTAAACGTGACAACAATGGTATAAAGCAGCAATGGGCAGCAGGGAGATATAGCAAACGGACGGTTACATGTATTGCAACGGTTCGATCGTCACAAACGACCTCACCAAGTGCTGAAGGTTCTCTGTGGTTGCTGGACAGCGGATGCAGCCAGCACATGACTTCGGACAAAAGGTGGTTCGAAGATTTGAAGGAGTTGGACAAGCCTGTGCAAGTGGAGCTTGCTGATGGGAGCACTCTGAACAGCTCAATGGTGGGCACGATCAGAATGACAGCACCCGATGGGACAACGGTTCGATACACGGAAGTGCTCTACGTACCCGGTTTGAAGAGCAATCTCCTTTCCTTCTGTCAACTGCTGAAAAAGAAAGCTCGAATCAACACAAATGCTGATGGCGACACGGAGATCACCATGCTTGTTGGAGATGAGCATATACAAATTGGACTTGGCAAGGACGTGCATGGAGTGCTCATGGTGGACTATGAGCCAGCACTTGCTCCTGCCCATGAATCTGGACATACTCATGAGGATGCACCATCGAATGCGCATGGTCATGGAGGATTGAACGGTCAATCTGCTCCTGCATCCGTCGCCTACCGTATTGCGCACATGGCTCGTGTCGTGAAGGACATGGCACGTAATGGTGACAAGGACACTCACTCACCGCGCACGTTTAATGCTATGCTAGCGGACGCTGAGACGTTGCTTGGACACCAGCAGCACACAAATGAAGACTCACCCCACGTTGCGGTGTGGACTTCAGGGGGAGAAGGAAAACAGTCCGCGGTGGGTAAAGGGGACTCCACGGACCAAGACTTACATGGAGCTGATGAAGACAATGCAACCGAAGGCAACGGAGGTGCTGCAGCAAATGAGTTACCTGCAGCAGATGTCACTGTATCAGAGGAAGTTGAAGATGATGATACTGGAAGCAAGGTGGGATATGCAATTACGGGTGTGCGCATGGCTGACTTGACATACAAGGAAACAAAGTTCGTGGTCACGGATCAGCCCACACTCGCCAAAGACGGACATGACATCACCTGCAGCCGCATGTGCGGCCTCCAACCGATTCCCCATGGATCAACTTCTGCACATGGTCAGCAAGTCAATGGTGCTGGTGCAACACTCACATGTGCGGACTTCTCGCGATGTGCTGGACAGCAACGCGTTACGCAAATCCTTGCACCTCACTCGTGTGTTTGCAACCATGTGCAAGCTCGCATACACACGAGTGAGAGGGGGAGTGGGGTGTGGGAGCGTCAAGCGCTGGGTTGGGAGGCATAAGTGCATTTACATCTTCATGGCTACAAGAACGTTATGAATCGTTCCGCATGAGACAGCCTACTGTTACAAGGAGTAACCGCTGCTGCCGTTGTGTGCCAGCAGCTGCTGCTGCAACCGGTCTGCACTTGCAGCTTACCATGGGACAGCTGCTGCTGGTCGTGCAGGACAACAGCTGCTGTTGCTGCAGGCCACCAGGCGCTGGAGCACCCCAGCAGGTGCAGCCAGCCAGGTGTTGCTGCAAACCGCCAGCCGCTGCTGCAGTCCGCCAGGCCGTGCTGTCCGCCAGCTGGTACTGCTGGTGAAAAGGGAGAGCATACCAAGAAAACACAGGTTAACCCATTCGTAGCTTCATCAAGGAGTAGAGTGCAAGGTAAACAGAATGAGAAGGCAAGCTACTACTGCAGGGCTAGGAGATCCCGAGGTTCCTCACCGTCAGGCGCTGCTGCAAGTTGACTGGTGAAGCTGCAGGCGGTCATGTGCTGCTGCAGGCTGCCAAGTGCTGCTGATCCTGCCGGGTAATACTGCTGCCGAGCACCAGCAGCTGCCGCCGAGCGCCACCAGCTGCTGCTGCGGAGCGCCAAGTGCTGCTGGTGGTGCTCGGGGAAGGCCAGGTGCTACCGCCGTTGCTCACCGACTGCTGTCACCGGGCATGTGCTAGTGCAGGGCGCCAGGAGCTGCTACTGCTTCAGTGCGCCACCAGCCATTGCTCCAGTCAGTCACCAGCTCCTCCGCCGTTGCTGCCAAGAATTTGTGGTGGGTGCAGCCGCCAGGTGCTGTTGCGGACCGGCAAGTGCTGCTACAGGGGAACAGGTGCCGCTGCAGCTGAAGCAATCCGTTGCTGCAGATGGTGATAAAAGAAACACATGGGAGAAGTGTTTAATCTGGAGAAGCTGGTCAAGCAGTGTAAGGAGACTACAGTGGAAGGGCTACGTACTTCTTCAAAGGAAGAAGACTAAGAAGAATGAATGAAAGGTTACTCACCTAGTCACGATACGCCGCTGCTGCCGTGCTGCCGACACTCGCCAGGCGCCAAGTCGTCCGCAGTGGCAGGGGGAGCGAGCATGCATTGCTGCTGGTCGCTCAGAAGATGATGGTGCAGCCGTTCGTCAGGCGTTGAAACAGTGCGCCACTGGGAGGTGCAGTCATGCATAAAGCAAACCGCCATTGCTGCAGATGAGAGCCAGCAGGTGATACTGCCGTGGGTGTCGCCACTGCAGGAGTGGGTGTCGCCAGGAGAAGCAATCGCGCGACAAGAGAAGCAGCCGCGCGACAGGAAAAACAGCCGCGCAATCAGTCGTCAGCTGCTGCAGGGCATCGTCACGCCATGCTACAGCAGTCGCACGCTATGCTGCAGAAGTTACGCGACTGAAGGAAATTTCCCGTCACCAGTTGCAGGCGAATCAGGAGCTGAACAAGCCACGCGGCAGAAGTCGTGCAGTCGCTGCAGGAGGATTGCGAATAGCAGCGCGCGATGCTGCCTAGGTCGCGTGACATGCAGCGGCACGCCACGCGCCAGCGTCGCACGCTGCTTCTAAGGACATGCGCCAGAGACGTTCGCGCGCCTGGGGGGTGAACAGCGCGCAACCGCAATACGCGTTCGTTAACTGTTGCAAGCTACGTCGACAGCTCGCCGTGAATGCGCAAAACCGTCGTCAGCAGCCATGGCCATAGTAAACGCTGCTGAGAATACCAGATCTCTAAGGTGCTGGAACGAACGAGATTGACAGGTGGGGTTGGAAGCGAGCGTGAGAGAGGTCCGCGAGGCGAAGCAGGAAAGCTCAGGAGAGGGTTCGGTTGGAAGCAGCAGAAACAGAGCCTTAGGACGTGGTGCAGAACGGGTCCAGACCCGGTGCACCGAGGCGTGCCGGGGCGTGCCGGGGCGCCCCAGCTCGTCCCGTGGCAAGCGTCTCAATTTCGGCTATCCTTCGAAGAGCTGAGTTTGAACCTTCGCCCAGCAATGGGCGAAAGCGAAAGACTTCAAAAAAAAAATTCGGCCAAGAATGTTTACTTGGTAATGTCTCGCCAAACATTCTGTTACACAAATCTCGCAATTGTTCATCCCCAAGAAGAATTCGCAACCATCTAAAAAATTAACGAGATCCTAGCGTGACAATTTAGCTAGTAACAAATATTTCGAGATTTCGCAAACCTTTCGAACATGCTGGGGCGCCCCAGAGCACGCCCCGGGGCGTGCTGGCACGCGTCGGTGCATCGCCTCGTCCCGGCACGCCCCGGGACGAGGCGATGCACCGGGTTCCCATGTGCGGTGCATCGGTGCAGCTTCGAAACCCGGTGCACCGCGGTGCATCGGGGCGTGCCAAGGCGTTCTGCACCACGTACTTACAATGCAACCCCCGCACCTGAACGTGAGGTACGAATTGACCGCAGCTGCTACAGAGCCCAACTCACCGACGCGTTTTCCAACGGAAACCCTAGGCATGTTTTTGCCGCAATCAACGCTCTTAAAAATCGGCACCGCGATCAACGCCGCAGTCATCCGCAATTACCTCCGTCACAAAAGCACAACCTCATCCACATCATCATCTACAAACCAACTCACTAAAATCGACAGCAAGGGGGAGTGTTGGAAATATACAATCATAAGAAAGTTATATGCTGTTAGATTTTTGTGTAGTCCCCTCTATAAGCATCTAGGCCCTACAATAATTGTACAATTATTGTAGGGGCTGATTGGCTGGAGCCTAGAGCTCTTGGGGGTAGAATTATTGGTACTCCTATGAAGCTGCCATTATTGGTGGTACAATTATTGGTGTGTGTTACAATCTGAAGTGTGACTTAGCGAAGAGGATCGTTCAGGGTTGATCGCAGGTAGTGTCGCAGCGGAAGTAGTGAACTCAGGTCAGAGTGAATGTAAATGACTGAGATGATAATAGCATGCATACATTGGGTTTATATAGAAATACAAAGGAATGCGAAACGACATAGACTAGCCATGTACTCTAAGGGGTACATTCCCTTATTGCAGCGAAATTCAAACCGTGCGGCGCGGGAATCAGTTTCAAACCTGTTCCCGCTCTTTTCACTTCAAATGTTTCTGCCTGCATCGGTCTTGGTCAGACGGTTGCTGTGTCGCTTCGACTCTTCTGACTCCTCGACTTCGTACTCGGTAGAGTCGGCTCCTGCAGCATACAGGAATGCCTTCTCATAAAACTTCATATCGTAACACTCCCCTTCATTCCTGGACGCGAAGGGTGCTGACTCGCTTGACCACTCCGGTGAGGTCGGAGCAGTGCTTGAACTGCTGACGTGGCAGACGCTTGGTGAGGAAGTCGGCTGCCATCTCAGTGGTTGGGCAGTAAGCGAGGTCAACTTTACCCTGGTCGATTTCGTCCTTGACGAAGAAGTACCGCAGTGCGATGTGCTTCGTGCGGTTCACGAACCCGGGCTTGTTCGCGATCTTGATCGCGCTCTGGTTGTCGCAGTGCAGGCGAAAGGTAGGCGAGGTTGGAATTTTCGCCTCCTGTAACAGCTCCTGCAGGTACAGACCTTCGCGAACTGCTGCTGTCGCGGCGATGTATTCAGCTTCGGCCGATGACAGGGCAACTAGTTTCTGCTTCTGCGAGTTCCAGGAGATGGGGCCAGTTGGCTCCAGGCGAAAAACGAAGCCGGTTCGGGACCGTCGATTTGCTGGGTCAGCGGCATGGTCAGCGTCCACGTAGCCGTTGAGGTTGAAGGATGTTGTTGACAGCGTGGAGCAGGAAAGTCCAATGTCAGGCGTGGAGATGAAGTACTGCAGGGCGCGCTCCAGGTCCAACTGGTTCTCGGCTACTGGTTTGCGGGAGTACTGTGCCAGTTGGCTGGCGATGTACGAAAGGTCGGGTCGGCATGTGACAGATGCGAACAGCAGGCAGCCCAGCTGCTGCTGGTACAGTTGGAGCCCCGCGGGGGACAAAGGTTTGTTGTCTGGTTTGTAGTTGGTGCTGGGGCTGCGGTAGGGAGTTGAGAGTGGTGCGCGTGAGATGTTGAACCGTTCTCCCAGCTGTTCTGTGTATTTTGAAGCTGACAGATGAATTGCTTCTGGCGCGTAGGTGATGTTCAGGCCCAGAAACTGGGTGACGTTGTGGTTGGTGGTAATGTCCACGCGCTTCGCCAAGTTTTCTTCGAACTGGGTAAGGAGCATGTCGCAGGTGCCAGTGTAGAGCAGGTCGTCGACGTAGACGGTGAGGAGGATGTAGTCGCCGTTGAAGTGGAGGCGGTACATTCCCGGGTCGTGCGGCAGCTGCCTGAAGCCGATTTCCAGTAGAATTTTGTGCAGGTGCTGCTGCCAGAGACGAGGCGCCTGCTTAATCCCATAGAGGGATTTCTTCAGCTGGCAGACCCTGGGATCTCCTTCTCCGTAGGTGTGTGGCTGCTCCACGAAAATGGTTGCGTCCACCAACGCATATAGGAATGCGTTCTTCACGTCGATCTGTCGCAGTGGCAGATGCTTAGCGGCCGCTATGGCGAGTAGGATCCTGACGGAGGTGTGACGGCTGACAGGAGCGAAAGTCTGGTCGAAGTCGATGCCGTGGCGTTGGTCGTAGCCTCGGACCACCCATCGTGCCTTGAAGCGCTCGATGGTTCCGTCAGCGTTAGTCTTGAGCCGAAAAACCCACTTCCCGCTGAGCACCCTCCTCCCCTTCACTGCTGCACGATCGACGAGAACCCAGGTGTCACGGGACTCCAGCGCTTTCAGTTCGGCGTCCATAGCTGCACGCCACTCTTTGGCGTGCGGGCCGGTGAGGGCTTGGCGCGGGTTCTTTGGTTCAACAGCGCGAGCCATGGCGGAGACGGAGGTGTGGAGCCCGAGAAGCTGCAGGCCGGAGACGTTCGCGGTTTCCGCAGTGTCAGTGATGGGGACCTCCACCACGTCATCATCGTCGCTCTCGTGGCCAGGTGAGGTAGTGCTGGGGGCGGTTTCGTGGCGGGATGGTCCAGGGGCGGGTGCGTCATCGCTGTCGTCGTCGTCGTCATCGTCCGAGCGAGGGCGAGGCGGAATG